CTTCCTTTTATTTGTAATGTTCGCTTCTTTCCCTCCTTCACGTTCATTTTCTCTTTGATAAGATGCATTTATGTGTCCCTTTTTATTCTCTTCATTATGATCCAACCCTCTCATCTTCTCTACTTTGTATTTATTTCGCCTCTCTTTATCACCCTTAGTTATATTTACTTCTCTTTTTCCTTTTTTACAGCTCATAGAATAGATCCCTCTCTTCCTCCCCATATCTCCTTTATTACATGGTTATTCCTTTTCTCTCTTTTATTTATTTCCCTTACTTTGTTAAATCTATTTCCCTTCCTTGTTTTCCTTATTCCGTAGTATAGATTTTCTTCTCTCACCCAATCTTTCATCTCTTTCATTATATGGTTATTTTCCCTTTGTTTTGTTGCATTTATTTCTTTTAGTTTGTTATGTTTATTTCTCTGTCCCTTTTTGTTCATTTTGATGATGTAGGTCTCTCCCTCCTCTTCATCTTCTCATCAAGTATTCACTTCTTTTTCTTTACTATGGTTGTTTTTCTTAGTTATGTGTCCTCTCTCTTTTCCTATATTTCTTAGTTTAAATTTCACCGATCTCCGCTTTCTCTTTCTTTTCTTTTCTTTCTTGTATACTTATTTAGCATATTTCTCCCATGTTTTTTTCAATAGTTTATTCTCAACCCCTCTCTCATTCTCCTTTTATCTTATAGTGTAGATTTCATCTATTTTCATTTGCCCCCTCTCTCGTCTCTTCTATTTCATGCCTACTTTCTTCTCCTTGCCATGTTCTTTCATTTTAGGTAGGATACTCATTTTCCCTTTTCTTTCTTTCCCTCCATCTTGTAGCTCAAATCTCATGTCTCTCATTTCCCTACTCTCTCTTATATCTATTCTATCTATTTCTCTTATATTTTGTTCAATAGTTTAGCTTTTCTTTCATCTACTTCTTAACTCTTCCATGTTGTATTATTATTTTTATTCTCACCTTGTACTCATATCTCTTTGTCTCGTTGATAGAGACCTCTCCTCTTTTCTCCTTCATATGCACTCTCTCTTTTCTTTAATCTCCTCTATCTCTCTTTTATTTTATATTATGTATGTTTTGTTTAGACGTGCTTTTTACTTTCTTGTTCTTCATGTATTTTGTAGTTAGATTAATTACCCATGTTTACTTGTATCTCCCTAGTTTAGCTGCTTACTTGTGGTTCTCCTCCCTTGTTCTCTTTCTAAATTTATTTTCCCAAAAGACTTCCTTTTATCCCAAACTCCTTTTCGAAAGCTTTCTTGTCGAGTGCCAAGGTTTAAAATAGAAGGGAAGCCGGCTTTGCTGACGGTCCGAGATGGATAAGGTCTTAGGAACTGATTCTCCCTCGGAATGTAATTTGATGAGACCCATTCTCTATCAACTCATAGATCTGTTTGCGCACCCAAAACCAAGGTGGGGGGGGAGTCCCCTGCTAGCAATTTCAAATATAAACAATAATATATCGCATTATATCATGCTTCAAGAGAGAGAATATTCTTAAGGCAATTTGTTAATGAAATGCATAAACTACAATGATATATTGTGATAATCAAGCAGCAATAGTTATTTCAAAGCACCCAATCTATCATGGCAAGTCAAAGCATATTATGAAGAAGTATCACTCTATAATATAATTTATGAAAAATAAGGAGGTAAAAATTAGGGAAAATATCTTCTTATCTCCTATTTTTAACTTCAATATCTCATGAGACCCAAGAATTGAAAATATTATGTTTAACCAAAAGGTCTCTATCTTTTTTATCTTACAACCCCCTGGACCCATTTGACCATAACTTTTTGACCCAAACAAACACTAAAATGACACCCTATTCAAACTCCCTCACTATCGCTCTAAAACTCCATCTCTCTCTCTCTTCACTTCTCGGTGAGTTTACCAATCAAAGGGTTTAGCTTGAGCTCAATCACGAGCACACCTTCTTATGTATGAGAGAGATATGGAGTTTTAGAAAGAGAGAGATGGAGTTTGGGTTTTAGAGGGCTGGAGTTTTATAGAGAGAGATATGGAGTTTGGGTTTTAGGGAGAGATGAAGTTTTGAGAGAGAGATGATGATGTGAGAGATATATATAGAGTTTGGGTTTTAGAGAGAGATAGAGTTTTGAGAGAGACGATGATGTGAAAGAGAGATGGAGTTTTAGAGAGAGAGAGATAGAGTCATTTCATAAGTTGTTGAGGTCAAAATGGTTTAGGGGGTTGGAAGATAGAAAAGATGGAGTCCTTTTGCTTACAAGTAATATTTTCAATTCTTGAGTCTGATGAGATATAGAAGTTAAAAATAAGGGATAATAGGATATTTTCCCTAAAAATTAATTCTCTTCCTACTCAATTGATTATTGTCGACCCATCAACTAACGTTAAGTGTTGTTGCCATGTGCCTTACATGAATTGATAGATTTTCATGATTGATGCATTTGTGGCATATTAGAGCCTTTGTGGGCTAGTTGATGAGTCTTTGTGACTATGAGATATCTACAAGTAGCCTCCGTGCATTGTGACAGTCATCGCCTTTAATGATATTAACCGCCCTAGTGGCAGATATGGCTATGTGGTGCCAGTGATCCTTGTGGTAAATGGAGGATTTTAGTGATAGGGTGCCAATTTTTTAAACCTATTTTTAGGATTTCGAACACTGGTTGTACTTTATAGGCAGTGCCCTGCCCCACCCTTCAAAATACTTTTGAAATTACACTCTTGATCTAAACACTATATGTCACAACCCCCCCCCCCTGACCCCATACCGTACGAGCCAGCAGTGACAGAATACGGGACCGCGACAGGAGGTGGCGAACGCCACTCAGGTGGGAGTGGCTCAACGCATATAACAGGTGGAATCAAGAGCAAAGCACGAAATAAAACTAAAATCCATGCATCAGACATATATTAATCCAAAAGCAGAATCGTTTCCATTAATAATCATTCTCCAAAATCCTTTTACAAGCAGTTTAAGGCACTAACGGCCCACAAGGTAAAGGTAAACAACAAACAAACAAACAGTGGCGCAGCCACCCAAACACCTACTATAGCAAGCTCCAGAAAGATCTCTTCTTCAACTTCAAGCTTTAAGCGCCCCGAAAACCCAAACCGTTGCCTTCTCAACCTGGCCAAAAACTTTCACTCTGCAAGATTGAAAATGAGGGGAATTAGCTAACAGCCCAATAAGTAGATATACACCATTGCGTTTCGGTCTAACGGTAAATGACAGTATTTCTATGCACACAGCTATCATGAAAATTTTCATTATTCAAGCCCATTCAGTACTTTAACAGTATAAGGGTATACACAGTCTAATTGTCAGAATAACATACAGTGTAAAAGCCATTAGTCATTTAATCTCTAGCCGATCAGTAAAACAGACATATCACAATCTTACACAGTAGAAGCTAGAGAAGCCTACTCTTGAAGTAGATGAAATTATTAGAAGATGCAGTAGAGTGGCACCCAACTCTGCCCCTTAGTGACGAGGTGGAAACAATTTCATGTACAAGGGTGGAGCCTCAACTTTTTCAGTGGATCCGAATGGCACAAAAAGAAGATCCTCAACTCATGAAATTCTCGAAGAAATGAAATTAGAAAGAAAAGGAGGATTTCACTGTGAGCAGTGATGAATTGTTGAGATTTAGGGGTCGGATATGTGTTCCCAATGACGAGAATGTAAAAGGGCTATCTTGGAAGAAGCACACCACTCCTGTTACATGGTGCATCCAGGGAGTACGAAATGTATTAGGACCTGAAGAGGGTCTTCTGGTGGAGTAATATGAAGAGAGAAGTGATGCAGTTTATTTCCAAGTGCTTGACCTGTCAGCAAGTGAAAGTTGAACACCAGAAACCTGCTGGACAGTTACAACCCTTACCCGGGCCAGAGTAGAAGTGGGAACACATTATCATGGACTTTGTGTATGGCCTGCCTAGATTAGGTAGTAGACACAATAGTATTTGGGTCATTGTGGACCGATTAACTAAAGCTGCTCAGTTCTTACTGGTTTGCACAACATATACTCTGGATATATTGACCCATCTATACATCAAAGAGATAGTAAGGCTGCATGGAGTACTTGTTAGTATTGTGTCTAACACGGACCCTAGCTTTACTTCAAGATTTTGGTATAATCTGCAGTTAGCTTTGGGGACCAAACTCACTTTCAATACTGCTTTCTACCCTCAGACTGATCGACAGTCGGAAAGGATTATTCAGACTCTAGAAGATATGTTGAGGGCCTGTATTACTGATTTCAAAGGAAACTGGGATGATCATCTGCCTCTGATAAAGTTTGCTTATAATAACAGTTTGCAGGCCAGTATCCAGATGGCACATTTTGAGGCACTGTATGGGAGGAACTGCAGATCACCCATATGTTGGGATGAAGTCGGTGAGAGGAGACTGTTAGGACCAGAGATTGTTCAAATAACATCAGAAAAGATTGCTTTAATTCGTAAAAGGCTCAAAACAACTCAGAGTCGGCAGAAGAGTTATGCCGATAATCGGAGAAGAGATCTCGAATTGAAGTGGGCGATCAGGTCTTTTAGAAGGTATCGCCAACTACGGGCATTATGAGATTTGGCAAGAAGGGGAAACTGAGTCCACGATTTATTGGACCCTTTGAAATTTTAGAAAAAATTGGAGTCGTGGCATATCGACTGGCCCTGCCACCCGAGTTGACCAACATTCATGATGTTTTTCATGTGTCACTGTTGAGGAAGTATTACCCTGACCCATCCCATATTTTGAAGTATGAATCGATCCCGATTAGGGAAGATTTGACTTATGTCGGACAACCAATTGAAATACTGGACTAGAGACTGCAGATTTTGCGTAATAAAAGAATTCCCTTGGTCCAGGTTTTATGGCAGTATCATTCACGAGAAGAATCGACATGGGGACGAGAAGTTGAAATCCTGGATAAGTACCCCCATCTATTTGATTGATTGACGATTTTGAGAACAAAATC